TGTGTGTCTGTTTTATCAATTTTCTATGACCATGGTGGTCCCAGTCTTTAGCACATAGTAGCTTGGGGTTCCCGAGCTCAAATGTTTGGGAGCTGCATGCGTTACTGAACTTCTCTGTCTATTATTTTCTTGGTCTATATTTTCTAAATAATGGAGCAAAGAGGTAAAGACTGAAGGCCAAAGTCATAAATAATAACCTTTTTATTTATTGCATTGAAAAATTAAACAATATAGCATCATGTACAAAAGACAGACCATGCAGGAACTTTAGTTTGACAGTGAAATCACACGTGGAAAACATGTCAGGTGAGTTCAATTTGCATCGTATTTCCGCATCGACATACTGCACAGGTTGAATGTCAACAATGCTAATGATTAGCCTTCTCTTACTCTGTCTCTTACGCAGACACACACACACACACACACACAAACACAACAAATGTCCATGTATAGATCCCAAAAATATCCATATTTCTTGTTTATAAAATGTAGAAAAATTGCATATAAATACATCTGCAGCCGTCGTTTCACAAACATCGTGTTTACACAGAGGTGCTCAGTTTGGCAGAGTAAACATTGTGTGGCAACGAGTGAACTGAGCCTCCAAAGAAAAACAGAGTCCTGAATTTAAAACAGAACTCAGACCTCGTGATCCCTTCAACACAGCCTTTCTCTAATTATCCCTCAAATTAATTGGAATCTTGAATTTGAATCGTCCTTGAAAACGAGCAAAATTAAGTCTATTCGGTTTTGTTTCCTGAAAAGATGTAAAAGATCATGTTGAGGATGGAGGGAAGGAGGGAGGGAGGGCTAAATAACAAACTCAATAGTAGAGTTGTTCTGATCCTAAATGATCGTTTTACAATAAAAAAAGACAACAGTGTGGTGCTTGCAGCCACACAGACGCTCCCTCTCCCTGGACTCAGAGGAGCTCATAGGACTTGATGCTACAATCCCTTTTACAGTAATCTGTACTTAATTAAGTCTTGAATGGTGGGTAGGGGTTATCACTTAATTGGGGTCACCAGGTGGGCACCCTCCACCCTGATGGACCCACGACATCTCCAGAGGGCTCAACACCCCCCTCTGCTTTTACCCCTCCTGTAGGCCTATGGTCATCTTGCAGCCCAGTTGGGAGAAGTAGAATGTTTTAAATCTAAATTTTTATCGCAGAATATATACTCTACTCACTTAATATGCATGTTGCTCTTTCAAAAATGTACATGTACATTTCAAACTAAATAAACTAAAAATCATATTCAGTGAAGGTCTGCCCTTTTCTTTGTGGGGAGTATTCGGGCGGGGCCTTAGCTCCCTCTTTATTAACCAGCTGCCACTGGATCATAGACTGTAAATATTAATGTCTGAGGTCTGAGTGACCTCAAACATCTGTCACAGCAGGGGGCTCCGGAGGCTCATAGGCAGCAGCTGCCATGTTGGAAATGCTGTCTCAGTCTAACTTTCAGTCAAACTAACAACAGGCCGAGAGCTGGAGCTGAGGCAGGTTTTAAGCCTCCTGACAAACCGTTACATCACGCCCACCTGTCAATCACGTCAGCTACGCACCAAACTATGGAGAACTGGTATTGTTCATAAAATCAAAACAGATGCATTTAAAAGGAAATTGCCACTTGCACTGGATGCATCCGAGCACTTCTCTGAGTGTCGGGGCAGACGTCTAAAACTTGCTGTGAACAGTTGTGTAATCAGTTTAATATTGTATATGTCAGAGCGGGATTTCAGCGTGTTAATTTTGATGGTATTCACAAATGGAAATTGTGTGTTATTTTTATATTAGTTCTTATGAAGTTCAGAAGCTGCTTTGCTTTTCTTTCAGTGTTCCGCTCTGCATGCACTCACTGAAGGTTTTATAAACAGTCTTAAGAAGTAATGTGTCAGAGAGTCGCACAAAAGAACAACCCTTTAGAAATAACACGATTCTAACTGCTTAGTCACTGGTTATAAAAAGTCTAGTTAATTAACGAGGCTGTGTTTGAGTCATCAGATCTACTTCTGCTTTTTTAAAGAGGGGTTAAGTGCAGAAATATAATGATCTAAAGAAAGAGATTATTAAAGAGGATGCTTTAATTAAGAAAATTAAAAAATAAATAAAAGCTTGAATGTCAGATTTATGATGAATGAGTTCCCCTTTGAACTAACGCCTGCAGAGAAAATAATTACTAAACCTCGAGGCGATGATGAGAACAGAGAAATCAGATGTCAGCAATGTTTAAAACTGTGCAGAGATTAGGGAAATCTCAGGTGCCTCAAGAGAATCCAAAGGTTACACACTGGGATACAAATGAAGCTGAGGGCAAAAGAGAGGGAGGGCATCTGATTACAATGGTGGAGCAGAGAGAGAGAGAGTGAGAGACAGAAAAAGAGAGAAAGAGAGTGTGAGAGATTGAGAGAGCGAAAGAAAGAGAGAGGGTGAGAGAGGAGAGAGAGAGGGAGAGAGTGAGAGAAAGAGAGAGTGAGGGAGAGAGAGAGAGGGGGGAGACAGAGAGAGGGAGATCTTTAAAATGCTGCACATTACAGGATTCCTTTAAATGAATCACTCAGTGGAAAGAACAGGCTTTTTCTGCAACATGCTTTTCTTCTCGAAGTGTTGTCGTTCTATAAATCGGTTCTAAAGACCACTTTTTGAAGGTCTCGTCTCGGAATCAAAAACATTTTTACTCAGTCTTGTCTTTGTCTCAGACTGGGCGGACTCCAGATTTTAAATCAGGACTGGTCAAGACCACCACTGAAAGGCTATTTTTTAACGTCATCACTCTGATTAAAGAGGAAAACGCCTCTTTATAAAAGAACGAATAACTTCAATTCATTCATTATTTGATTTTTAACCCCCGGTCTCGCCCTGCCTCGGTCTTGGTCTTGACTCGGTCTCGATCCCTAAATGTCTTCTGAAATAAAGAACAACATGTGCCACAGGCTTGTTGAGTGACCTTCATACTGATGATCTGCGTCTGTCACACAGTTGTCTTCATCTGTTTGATTTGTATCCTTGCAGACTGAACATCATAATCAATCATAATAATAAGAAATCTTTGAAGGGCGACTGTGATGCTGCTTCACATTTTGAAATTGTGTCTGCATCAAGAAATAGAGTGGGACAAAATTCTTTTTTTTTTGTTTGACCTCGTGTTTGTTAATTTATATTCATGCAGAGTTTTCTTGCTGCACTTTTGAAAAATATAATCAAACCTGAATGTCTGTATTTATTCAATTTGGATAAATCATGACCTGACAGAATGAAAGGCAGCGGGAGAATATCTTCGATATGTGCTGAAGAAGTGACTGAAGCCACTGCAGACAAACAATAACTGAGTTACAAATGATTGATTGAATGTTAAAAAATGGGAAAATTGCTGAAAGGGTGAAAATATGCACAAAAACAGAAAAGACAAACACACACAATATGTTTGCATGAGTATAAATTAACTTCATGAGGACACCACAAGAACATTTACAGTTGTACTCCGAGCTGTGACAAAGTGCAAAGCAATCCTTCATTCATAACTTCTAACTTTAAGCTGACGAGGAAGTAAGATTTATGAAGCCAGTTAAATTAGTGAATCTCAAAGAATCCAAAACTGAACACAAAACATACTTCCTTTTTTTTAAGCATACATTTACTGAGTCACAATTAAAAGGACAATTACTCATCTCTTTGTTCCCAAACAGGAAGTTAATTGTTTTACATTGTGACGTTAATTTTCAATGCTTTCCCGCCCACAAAGTGAAGAAATCCATAATGTTTCAGTGTATGTGGAGGATGCAGCATCGAGCTGCTTAATGCAAACTGCTGTCATGACTCGCCATCGGGCGGTGAAAGGGTAATCTGCCTGCTTTTAAATGGAAACAAACTGTCCCTGTGAAATTATACTTTTCAATCACACACAGCGAATGCATTCATAAGAAGGAAATATATTCAAGTATTTTGTATTTCCATTTTTTAAATTTAGGGTTAGGAAAATAAATGTGCACCTCTTGTTTTGTGGACGATTGCCGACCAACTTTAAACCAAAGCAGTTGCAAATTTTGCAATGACAGTAGAAAACCTCCCAAAGAGGGCCCCATCTGACCGTGTCCCATGCATTATTTCTGTGTAAACCAAAGTTTGTCAATGAAAGTCACCAAAGGGAAATTAAGAGGAATTTTCTATCAGCGAGTGAAAACAAAAAAGAGGAAGATGAGTAAGCATCTGCAACCAACGCTGGTTGGAGGGGTCCCCCATGTATTTTAGCCTGGGGTCCTTATGGAGTCTAGAATCACCACTGACAGTACCCCCATTGGGCCAACCCAGCCCCACAAGTCTAGCCCCTGCCACTGTCAGCTCACTGTTCCCAGTAGGGATTCACTGTTTTTGCCAATCAAGGTTTTAGAGACAGGAAGAAGATTCTGCAGATAACCTCACATTCCATCATGTTAGTCTAACTTCCATTATACCTTTAAAACCCCAATAAACAACAACTGCAGTCGGGGTCAGGTGGGTACAAATCATAGCTTTATGAAAACCACCCTGTACTCTCAATGAACATAAAGCAAATGATTCAAGATGGACAAAAAATGGATGGTCACCCCCAAAAACCACAGCCTTCAAAGCCCCACCGTTAATCACATCAACACCTTACATTCTTATAAATGAAACACAATCACTGGGTCTTGATTGTAAGCAAACAACTGTTATAAATCTATCACTCACGCTACAGTAATAAGACACCTTGTAAATACGTGCATGTACGGGGTTTGGAATTACTCACTTTCGCTGGCTCGACAAACAAACTCATTGGTCTAGACTGCATATTCGTTGCTCAGGCACTTGTCATTAAAAACAAAAACAGAATAAAAATGTATCTTTTTTAACTCTGATGAATGTCACATATCATCCTGGTCTCTATATTCCAGCAGTAAAGGACTCTTCATTTTCTCCTTGATGCAAAAGGTTCATATTATCGAAAGGCATACTACTTGTGAGTGGCGCTCTATTGCTTTGATCTCTGTGATTGGACGTCAGTCACTTTACGACAGATAAAAGGCTTTGTGTGTGTGTGTGTGTGTGTGTGTGTGTGTGTGTGTGTGTGTGTGTGTGGATATATTTAATTGATCAGTTTGCGTCAGAAGCTTGACTCAGGGACTTTCTTTTTGCGTCCCAGCGAGGTTGTGCTATATCGAGTCCTCTGTAGGGTACCATAAGACGGTTTGTCCATTGTGAGGCTGCGCGACGGCGCCGGGTTTGTCGACATCCCGTTGCGGTGCAAAGACGCCGTCCTGCGCACGCTCTGCTCCGCTTTGTTGGGGATGTTGGAGGAGCTCTGCGAGCGCTTGATGTCGGCCGAGGTCCGTGCGTGCAATTTCCCATTTGCCAGATCGTCGGCCAAACGGCCGGCTCCATTGGACTTGCCTCCGTCGACCCCGGTTACTCGCCCCGCTGCTCCGTTGGAGAGAGGCGGTCTAGGGAGGGTTCTGCTCCGGCCTGCTTCTTCGACTCGTGAATCTTCCTCCTTGGACTTCCTCGAGTCCCTATCCTTCTTCATGAAGTTCCCTTTGAGGAATGACAGCAGTCCCTCATGGGGTAAACTCTTGGGCCCTTCTCCTTTCTTGGTCTTAGAGTTCCCTTCATATGCATCGTGGTGTTCCCTGTCAGCCTTGTCACCTTTTTGCCTTCTGAGGGTCCCATCATTTAGGATTGGGGTGCTGTAGCTGGGCTTAACACCAGCACTAGAACTCTTTTTGGTCTCGGGGTCCTGGGAGGCTTTGGAGGAACTCTGTTTCCAGGCATCCTTTCTCCTGGTGAGGGTGTTACTGCTAAAGCTACTGCTAATACTGGCGGCACCGTCATCTCTCGATTGGCTACCTTTGGCGCGTCTCAAACTGCCCGTCTTACCCGACGATCTCCTTTGGCCCTCTGGGACCTGAGGGGACTCGGGGGCCAGCTCATCTTCCGCCTTACCCACACAACTCATGCCCCCAATACTGGGAGATCGTGCATTGGTTGCGCTCCGGCTCTCAGCAGCTTCCTTCATGCTGCGTGATTCACCCATCAAAGTGGTGATTGGATCCTTTGTGCACTTTGGCCGTCGGCCAGATTCCAAGTACTGTACCAGCTCCACGGGCGCAGGATCTTGGACAGTTAGAGGCACTGGGTTGGGTTTCCGTTTGTCTTTTGAACCGAAGGACCAGCGCAGGGGAAGCATTTTGCTCAGGGTGTCCTTGGTTTTGCTGGGGGCTCTCATACTGACGCTGCGTCCCTGAAGACCTCTGACAAATGGCCGGGTCTCAAAACCCCCCTGGCAATTAAGTAGAGGGAAAATGCATTAAGTGTTTCATTTAAATGCAAGACTTTCACCAAGAAAAAGAGACTGAAAATAGATATTAAACTGATTCAACAATGGCATTTACCTTTTTCCTCTTTTGCACCATCATCAAGGAAGACCGGAGACTCAGGCGAGTCAGGCAAGGAAGATGGGCATGTGGTCGAGGAACGAGAGACCAGACTGCCTCTTTTGCTGTCCCCTGTGAGCCGGATTAGCCAGTGGTCTGACATTGAAGAACTTGTGGATCCTGTGAGAGACACAGAGCAAATGGGGGGGGGGTCAGGAAGAGGATAGGAAACAAGTGGACAGTTGAAAACAAAAAATGATGCAACTTGCAACTTAACGGACTCAACTTGTATTTTTTTTTACTTTTCAGTATGCAAGTGTAGCCTCAAGCTTTTAGCCTCAAGCACAGAAGAGGAATGGGAGAGAGAGGTCTGGCAAGCTCTCCTCTTCTTTTTAACCTCCACATCCCTGAGCTTCATCTGTATTTTAAATTGGTTTTCAGTTCCATCAAATGCTGACTCATGTGCTATCTCTTGAGGGAATTTCTTTTACTTATGGGCAATAACAAAATGCTTTGTCCAAAACTCCAAACTCCTGCAAACAAACAGACTCTGGTGTGTACAAGCATTAACATTCTCAAATAAGGACCCAGTTAATGAACACAACATGAACACTGCTGTGTAATTTAAAACCCCCCAAAAAACAGTTTGTATAATTGTGTAAACACAAACAGAGTGTAATAGCATCTGGAATTCCCACACTGTTGCAGACACAGCCGTGCCCCCAATTACTTCCTTTGTGTTTCCTTTCTCCCCCCCCTCGGTGTGTTTGTGATTGTGATGGTCTGAATAGAGAGAGGGGTGAAGGAGCAAGAGTACAGAACATTGTTCAGTTGTCAGCTGTTTGTTGTGTGACAACAATCAGTAACTGTAGTCTGTAGTCTTCAAAGGCTAAAGGTAGAGTCCCGAAATGAACGCTCTCTGTGTGTTCTTTTGTCCAACTCACACAACACATAAATTACATGTTTTCCCCTGTGCTGTCGTTTGTGTCATTTTTGTGTAAAAGGATGCTGACTCTCTTACTGCAAACCAAACTTACCTACAGGTACCAATAAAGTGACCTTACCTTACCTCACACACACATCAATGCTGAGCATGTGCTACATGTTCAACATTGTCAAAGCTCATATGAGAAACACTACTTAAAGGCTTTATATGCGATCCTCTGAAAATAACTCTGTGAGTCATGACTGTCTACAATGGGTGTAACACCCGAGTCCCACTGTCTGTGATGTTTTCAGAGTTTTCAGAGTCCTATCTTCACTTTGTTTACATCGCCCGGACGGCCGGCTGACTCCTCCCCTCGTGTATAAAAGTTGTTTAATTGAGGGACTAGAGAAAAGAATAATAACATACTGTACTCACTGCTTAACTGTGTTTCTAGATCACGCTCATTTCAGGTAAATTTACATGCAGTGTGAAGATACCAGCATAATAAAGATCGCTAGCATTAGCATGCTAACACAACAATGCAGCGCGAGTTGTTTTGGTTTCATGCTGGTGCTCAAGGGCGACATCTGCTGGATCAAAAAATCTTTAAGACATGTAATTTACTACAGGAGTTGTTTGTAATGCTCATGTACTTAGTTGGGGAAAACAGATACTCATAATGATGCAACACAGTTGATGCGTTGTGCTGTTTAATCGCCGTCCTGGTTATCTGAGGAGTGGACAAGTTACCGCAGCGTTTTCCATCGCTTCATTTCTTTTTATTATTCATTGACCTGTTCCTCATCTTGAGCCGCCTCTCACTGCAAACCTGCTTCTCTGGTCTCCCCTGCCCTATCATTCTAGTCCTTCCTGTATCTCCGCACTGCTCAAATATATTCCCCCTGATTCTGATCCAGATTGGCTCGGCTCATTGTCTTTTTCTCTGCCAGGACTCTCCACTTGACTTAGCCCTGCCTTCCCTCTCTGCTCAGCAACCTGTCACCAGACCAAGTCCCTAAAACTCATCCACTCATCATTTCTGTCCCACTTGTACATGGCTCAAATCCTATTACTGTATCCCTACATTGCATATCCTCGATTTCAGTCTGCTGACCTTTGAGTTTGCACTGTGTTCACCTGATCTGATCAGCAGTAGCGGAGGAAATATTCAAATCCTTTATCACTCGTGCATTCATGGAAAAAACTTTAAAATCTGGAATGAAGCTGAAATGATTTAAACCTCATTTGGTTTTATAACGATTCAAATTAGCATTAGTACTTTTTTAATGTAGCCTTATTGAAAATTGTGCTTAAAGGTTCGGGAAACAAAGTTTGCATTTGTAGTCTGCAGGTTCTTCTTTACATAATAGGGAAGCACCAAAAAAAGATTGGGGAATGTATGTAATCAAATTTTAAAGATGTATTTTTTTGGACTCTTTGTGCCTTTATTTGAGAGACAGGACAGCAGATAGAGATGGAAATTAGGCAAAGAGACAACGACATGCAGGGAAGGAGCCACAGGTGGGATTCAAACCCGGGCCGCGGGTTTAGGCCTCTGTAGGGGGTTCTCCCACTAACAGCTAGGCTAAATTGGATTAAACCTGATAATAACCATCAAGACAAAGGCAGCTTTAAGAAACATGCGTTTGATTTGTTTTTTGATTTTCTAGATTGACCCATGTCCCGTCTGTTAACATGGAGGAGGCGGGGTCAATGACCTCTACTGCAGCCACTCAGCAGGGAGGAGCTCTAAATCTTTTGGCTTCGCTTCAGGGGAGGTATTCAGCTGTACATTTGTATACAGTTCTATGTTATAGAACTTCCTGAACACACTTACACACCCTTGTGCATGGAGGGACATGGCTTTAAAATATGCAGAATCCTTTTTTCAAAGTATAGATTTTGTTGAAAAGTAGATTTAATTTAACCTTCAAGAAGTAAAGGTTTAGAATGTCAGAGCACCTCAAGGTTTGTCTTGAGTATTGTTCAGGCTTGTCGTACATTAATTAAACACAGAGTGCTGAAGTAGGACCAGGCAGAATAAAACTCAAACAGGACTATAGAAAGATATTCTAATTTGAATGTGGCCACATTAGCACAAATTAAAACAGGACCACTGTGAGACTTTGTGACTGCAGGTGCTTCAACATTCGTGGTGTAAGACCTTCAGAGATTTAATAATGATTCACATTTGCTCCTTTATGAACAGACTTTCTATCGAGGACAGACTTCATTCAATAAGATGCATGGATTTGATTTGTTGTGCCGTAAAATGACAGTCTTCACTAACTGAGGTGTGACAACCTCGGATAGAGGTTTTGCAGACCCAGAATACGCTGTAGGGATTATATATCCCGTCTAGCCTGGGGACGCTTCAGAATCCCCCAGGAGGAGCTGGAAAACGTTCTCTGGGGAGAGGGAAGTCTGGGTTGACTTACTGCGACACAACCTCGGATAAGCGGAAGAAAATGGATGGATGGCTGAGGAGTTAAAAATTTGATGCTGCCAAAGTTAAAACCATAAAAAGAAAGAAAAAATACATTTTGGAAGCCTGAAAATTGAAATTGGTACGCCAATGGAAGCAACAGGGCCAGATTGAAGAACCTCTCAACCACAGCGAGAACGCTGTTCTTCCATTTTAACACCTCGTTTTTGGAATGATTGACTTCGATGCACAATCAACAGGTTGTGTTAGTGAGAATGAGTTTTTTGGGAGCTTGATAACCAGCAGATGCAGAACAAAATGTGAAGTTATCACCTTATTAAAGTCACACAATGTGATAAAAAACTTCCAGAAGTTTTTTCAGCTGTCCCCTCTGAGTCCTCTGAGCACAGTGCAGAGTCATGATTTGCTTTGACTCAAACATGCAGGGATAGAAACACATTACCCTGCCCATTCACTGTATGTAGCTGCACCTCTGTAACCATGGTGATATCATAAAAAAAAAAACGCAAAAAAAACAGGTGGAATGTCTATTTGTTCAGAGAGGTGAATGTGAAAATCATTATGTTCCAGGAGCTCGATTCGATTGTACGAGCAAAAGTAAAACAATGATCCCTCTAGAGTCTTACATCAGCTCTCTGAGAGATTCAAACTCTGAATCGATGGCTGAATCTACAGAGTTAGTCTTCACTGTTTGGAAATACTTAAAGTTTGATCATCTACACGTTACTTTTTCCAGCAATTTAAGATTTATATGCCGGCATTTACAACACCCAATTTGAATTAGGATGGGTCTTGTGATGGTTGGGTTCAATCTGTGTGTTGGGTATCTTGTTGCTGTTGGGTTGTTTTTTTGTTGTTCTGTGTATTTTACATTCTCTATATTCTTGTTGTTTATGTTCTTGGGTCCAAGTACGCTTGACCCCAAAGGCCGGTTCATTTGATCAGTATGAACACAAACGTACCGCACTCAGGTACCGGGACCCGAGTGTGCTTGGAGAGGAGGACTTGGGGCAAAATTCATGTGTACTGCTGCATGGACCGCGAGAGATGTGAATGCAACCGATAAAAACAAGGAAGTGGACTTCTATATGACGTTATTCTCCTGTCACTTCCAAAATGTTGTACCTGTGCAACACGGGCCTGCTTTGTCCTCTGAGCTGCACGATAGATGTGGAGGTATCATCTATTTATTATTTTTTTATTTAGCTATGACTGTGTCTGATAAAAATGGCTTAAAATAAGCTGCAAAGTCAGTAAAGTAGCTGTCATGCTCTCTGATGTGCAGATGCGGACTCGACTGGGCGTCCCTTTTTTTTTTCTCTCTCTCTCTCTCTCTCGTCCGCCTGTTTGTCAACTGAGCACGCTTCACAATAACATAAAGCATGCATGTGTTGTATTACAACATTATGTACAAGAGGTAATCGTGCTTTTTGGCACGGTTAGTCCTGGCCAGTGTGTCTCGCCCAAGGACACATCAGACATGTTGCTGTAGGAGCTGAGGATCGAACCTCCGAGCTTCCAGTTGAGAGGAAACCGACTCTACCAACTGAGCCACAGTCGCCTCTTGTAGCTGACGATGACAAGGGGTGACAAGTTGGGACACTTTTACAGTATGATGGTTTTATCATGTCTCCTAAATTTAGTAAAACACTGTAGAAAGGTCGCAGTCGTCTCCTGAAACCAGTGCATCAGTTTGTCTCTAATGCTCAAATTAAACACATGATTACAAACATTTCCATCTCATGTACTTGTCCCTTTTGTGATTTTTTTCCCCCATGTGTGATACTTCCATGATGAGCATACCTCTGACGGAGCAGCTGGCTGACCACGGAGGAATGGTGTTCCGCCTCTGGTAGAAGAGGATGTAGGCTCCTCTGGTGCAGACTTCCTCCTCGGGCACCAAGTCCACGCTGCTGTCGTCGTAGCTGTACCACACTCCGTCCACCGAGTTCCGACAGTAAGCTGTGTTAGGAAAAAATGACGACAACAATGAGCAACGGGAAACTTGAACATTAACACACAGTTAGGTGTTTTTGATGTACGGTCTAAAGGCTTTAAAAACTCACACAAAGTATTTCATTGAATGCGGGTGGAATTTTCCTTCAGCCCCTTTATTTCAGGTCATGAAACCGTCAAAATGAAATTATGAAACCTTTCTATTGATTCATAATGCTGCAGCTAAGTGAGCAACGCAAGCAACTGCGAGGATGAATGTAAAAGTCAAGTGAAGAGGAATCTCAGCTATATAGAAAAAAATACATAATATATACAGTAAATGCCGAGCATTTCAGAGCTGCTGCTGTTCACAAAGCATCCCCCCTGTTCTGTAATTAAAGATCCAGCCATTCCTCATCCATGTGTCAGCAGCCCGTCCTGCTGTCAGCTAGCCGAACCCATTACCTGAATACTTGCTGGGGTCTCTGGAAGAATGTGATAGAAGACGAGAAATGGAAAGACTCAGCCTCTGAAGCTGCAGGAAGGGGTCTTATTTTTCATTTCATTTCATCCAGCAAACAATTGGATGTGTGTTTTACTGAGATACTGTTTTTCATTTTATAAATATTCTATTTAGCTGTTCATTAATTAAACTCTATGTTGGGAGAAGTGGTGAGTACTAAGAAACCAAGAGTGTCTGGAGAGTCTTTCCATCCCCCCCATGTGTTTCCACACATGCACAACTCCTGAAAACGTCCCCACAGTGTGAGCTTCAATGTTGAAAGCAAACTTGACACATTTTTCACCTCGACGTCAACCTAAACTTTTTTTTCCAGGCAGCCCATTGTGTGAAGTCATGGTGAGCTGATGTGTGCGACACTAAAGGAAATAGTGCCTGGGTACGTTGACAGCGCTTTTTACACTCCGAGCGCCTATTTTTCCATCAAAACCAATGCAGTCAGCACTTTCAGTGCTCAGCGTCCTGAGAGCAAAAACACCATTAGCGTGAGCTGCTTTTCGTCATTGCGCTCACAGCACTTAGAATAAAAACAGTTCAACTTTGGGAACTCCGCTGCACCTGTCAATGTCAGTGTCACTTCTCCCTCACCGACCAATCAAAATCAAGAAGGGGCGGGACTTCTGGTATCAGCTTTGTCAACAACAATGGTGGAGAAGAAATCTATCTGACTCATTTTACTCAAACTCGCCCACTCACTCCTTCGCGCTGTTATCAGTCGCAACATGATACAATGTTTGCCCCACACACACAAATACACACACACACTTGAGTCCCTACAGTTCGCCGAGTCAGGTGACGAGGCTTTTATAGGTTTGGTGACGTGGGGATGCACTCCTACGTCATACTGTACTCCACACAGCCGTTAGAGTTTTTCAAACGGAAGGGAAGACACTATGCACATTTCTAACACAATATTTCAAATTTCAATACTTTGTACTCAAATGTCGAGATTGGGACTTGGATTGATCCATAACACTACTTAATACTCAAATACAGAGGTTTATAGTTGAAAAAAGTGGTTTTAGGGTTTAGTTACTCTTTAAGCACATGGAGTTATTAAACCCGACCTTTACAGTCACAACTGAGGGAAGCTGAAGTTACTTTTTTTCACAGCAACAATAAGCTCCGGTGAGAAGTGCTTTGAAACTTAGGTCGTGGGCGCTGGACACAAGTCCATTATCAAGAAAATTCACTGAGAGCATGTGGGTTGAAGACCTTTATATTCTGTGACTGGTCCAACTCTGTGCATGTTACCAAGCTTTCTTTTTCTTTCTTTTTCACAGGGGCCAGGGGCGTGTGCAGACTATTTGGACTGGGGGGGCCCACCTGGTGTATCGACTCATACACTCAAATTAATTTCAAATTTTTACCTTTTCTATCCCCACTAATGATACAGTATGTACTTGTAAGTAAATTTGGCAACAGATAATCTAAGATATATGAGCAAATCTCGAAGTACTTATAAAATTGCACTCTTGCACGCTGTCTTACTTGCAAAATTACATTTATTGGCAAGTAAGTCCATTGCAAGTTAGACAGTGTGTTCTATTATTTGCTTTGGAGTTTGGAGTTAATGGGAAGAGCAATGACTTTAAAGAATTATTTTACAACTGAAAGTACTAACAACAACAAAATAACTACATTAACTCGTAAAAAAAATCTATCAGCAGGCCGTCGCAAACAAACAGAATAAGTCTCTGATTAGGCACATAGCCAATTATTGATTTGGATTTTGGGATGGCACCTGAGCTTGGCAATCACATTTCAGGAGGTGGGAGCAATGTCACCCCTGGCCACCGTTCTGGACACACCCCTGACTATGGCTACGTCCAATTACATGCAGCATTGTTAAAAAGAAAAACAAAACTATCATTATTGTGCCTGAGTTTGTCACTTTGTTTACCACCTTGGATTTCAGCATCTTTTTTCTTTCATGTCTTACCTCTTGAGACCTCCAGCACCCCAACATGTGAATGATTTGTGTTAAACAACTTCACTTGGGACAAGAAACTTTTGAAGATTTCAGGGGCTGGCTGTCATGTGTGAAAACAGCTAATAAGGTTTAACATTTCCATACCAGTGTAATGCCCTCCATGCATCCCTCCGTGATGGTTGCACACAGCGTACAGGTCATACAGGTAGTCGTGGGGGAGGGTCATGTCTGCTGGCTGTTGGTGTTGCTTCCAGGAAGGCGGCCAGGCTCCCGAGTTCACATTCCTCAGACTCTGACTCCTCTTCACCACGTTGGGCGCCATGTCCAAACCAGTGAGGGGGAAACGCACCAGGGTGGACAGCTTGTTCCTCCGCTCACCGACCTGTTTTAACAATTCTCAGTCTTAAAAATGGTTCATGCTTTTTCAGGTATGACAACAGCACAACATTGAATTTGGAGAGGTTATGAGGAGTGGATTTGACAATTCAACGATTTTTACATTTTGCACTTACAACTCTCTAAAGTTTTGAAATAAATTCACATCGAAGACAATCCACTGGAGTAGCCTACCAGTTGGAGAGTTTGAGGGTATTTGTGCTCTTTTGAGCTTTACACCATCAGTAATGTCACAACAGGATTTTTGCTTTTACCGTAGTTCAAATCAGAGAAAGAAAAAACAACTCTGACTGGTGAAGGGAGAGTGGCTCAGACTGTTTCTAAAGAGAAGTTCAGCAGCAGTTTGCAGCACCTTGGGGTTTAGCTGTGTGTACCCAATAACCTTGGAGAGTGTGCATGCAAATTAGTGGAATTTCCATTGCACAGTCTCTGAAAGAGTGACGGACTGAAGTGCTCTACAAAAGACTGAGAGAAATCACAGGTGGATGGTCAGGCGGGGGGAGCTTGGCATGGTATGGGATGTGAGGTTGCACTGCCTTGTAGTGATTACTAAGGTTTGACAGATGGAGACAGCCTGGGCTGGTGCCACGTGCAGTGAAGAGAAGCAGGTCTGTGCCAATCAAGCACAGGTCAGAGGGAGAGTCGAGCTGGAGCCAACCTCGGCTTGCAAAATTGTTTTTTGCTACATTAAAAATCTAATTTCAGAGGTGGAAAAAGCCAGAAGTCTGTGTGGAAGGTGCCAGCTAGATAAAGTTGGGAAACAGTTGTATGACTTATGACAGAGCCAGTTGTGATCAGACTGTTCAGTAAGAGCTGGACGGTCTCTATGTCTGAACCTGGCTGAGGTGAGCAAAACAAGCCAGAGGGGATGTGCACAGAAATTGTGACTTCCATTAATAAAAAAAAAACAACAACAATTTTTATCATTCAAAGATTTTTGATTTCATTTGATTTAGTAAACAAATCGAATGAAATTATTAAACACACACACCTCCAAGATTCAGGTACACCAGACATACCTTCGGAGGAAATCCTAGCTTACACCTACAGTAGCTTACACCTTGCTAGTTGGCTTAAGACTTACTAGTGAGTTAAACACATTTTCAATATTTTGACATTGTGGCCCATAATGCTGGTCAATGATGTGCTCAAACTATAACACAGTCACCTGCAACCAGCCTGCAGTAGCTGTAGCCATAGACTGGGTGAAGCCCCGGCTAATGGGCCTTCTCCTCTGGCTCTACTGCCTGGATGTAAACAAAGACAGTGAAGGGATAGCATCTCATAAGAGCAGCACGCCATGCAGTGTCTCGATGCAGGTTGTGTCAGGTTAAACTGGCATATCTACTTAAGCAATGAATAACCACATTGAGCACAGACATGTGGATGCTAACCTGAAGGAGAGACAAATGCTGGCGGTGCTAACATTGCTAACGTTACCCACACTCAGCAAACCAAATAACATATTTTACCAGCAGGCAATTCTAAATAAATAAGCTCTATTTGGGGTGATTTCATACTTTAAGACTAGTCTTTATTAATGTTCTCATTTTTTATTTATTTATTTATTTTTATTAGGTGCAATAAAGTGACAAACTGGTGATATATACATGACAAATGAGGCACAAAAAATACAAACAGACAATGTCAGGACAACGACTCCAAAATACAGTAATAATTAAAATAAAACAAATAAAGACAGCAAAATACTAAGACATCAATAGACACACATCGTAAGAAGGGATACAGGAAGTGAGAGAAGTGATACAGAGAAAGAGAGAAGGGGAGGGAGAGAAGGTGCTTAGAGCCGGGGTTTTGGGTTTGGTTTAAACGTTATTTGATTGGAGGGGAGGATGGAGGGAGAGGCAAAGCTATTATTTTTCTTTTCTTTTGAAAATAATAGCTAAAAATAAATGTTCTCATTTAACTGACTGGGAAATTAGTTGCTATGAACAACCTTGTTTATACAAAAGGCGGGAAATCTGTAATGAAAAGGGCGGGAACTTCTCTAATCAGTCTCTAACAGGAATAATGCAGTCTGGATTTTAAATCGGCAAAATAATTATGACAGCTACAGCTAGACAAACATGGATTTCTAGCAGGACAATTAAAAATGTGATTTTGGTCGAGAAATGTGTAAACCCAAACAAGCCAACGGGCAGCAGCTGTCAGGGTATGTGTGGGGATGCTAATGAGTTGCCTGTGGATGCTGCTGTTTTGGAGTTCATCCCAGAGAATGGGCCATAATTTGACTGAATGCAACGCAGTGTTTCACTTCCCATTGTTTGTGCTTAAAAAGCCTCTTTTCACAGCAGACATTTTGGCTTGTCACAGTGGGAGAAGCTCGGGTGTTAGTAATACCATGAAAGATTCCACATTTCTTTTCAGGTGTTCAGTAAGCCTGACAGAGAGTCGGCATAGACTTGGACCCTGAAGCACAAAAAGCAGAATGTAATGCGCTTTTTTACTGTGACAAAATGTCTCATGTTGAGAAGAAACGCTGCAATATTTAATAATAACACGAGGTAGTTAATATATATTCTAACCAAAAATTATTAGTGTGGTGTATTTGCAGTGGCTATTCTAGGGTCTGTTAGCAACATTCATTGGGGGCCCCTCCAACCAGCGTTAATTATTGTTTTCCTCTTTCCTCTTTCACTGCCCGACGGATAATTCTTCTTCATTTTCCTTCATTGACAGATTTTGGTTTTCAGAGAAAATGCATGCAACACTTAACAGCACACTGAGAGTAAGTGCTATCAGATAGAGCCTCCTTTGGGAGGTTTCCTACTGCCTGAGTGATTATGGGTTGTTTTTAGCTGTGGATGACTGTATGCGTGAACTTTATAATTTTGTTGTACAATTGTAGAATGACAATAAAGACATTTCT